CAAATTAAGCGAATAGACTTCTTAAGGATCGATCGGTGTACTGCAATAGTATGGTCAAGGCCGATTCCTGCAAACATTTTGGTCTTCAGTTTCTCCGTTTTGCTTGGATATAGTGGCGGAACGAGCTTAGAATTAACCTGCGAGCAGTATATACATATATATCTGAATATCAGTCTTTTCCATTGTGCTGTCCATAATTAGCTAGTTAGGTCTAATCGCTCACTTCGCAAAAGACCAATGTATCTAAAGAATTTTGTGAATTTTGTGTCAATAAGTGACAATGGTGTTCCAATGGTGCTCTATTAATGGTGGTGCAACTGGCACGTAAGGACTTTGGCGTAGCTTTTATGACCGACAATCTATTTGTTACGATAATCGTCTTGAGTTTGAGTTTGCGCGCAAGTTGTGTTGGGAGAATAGTTCTAGCAGCGGTTGTAAATGATGGGTGCACTTAATTTGGATTCGCTCTTCTGGCATCGACTAATGAATAGACGAGTCATTATTGCAACTGTCCGTAAAAATAATAAGCAATTTTTCTACACGATTAGTTCTCTGAAGACGAAACGTACATTCTTTTTTCAGGAGATGCTTTGAAGAATGTTTATTTGGTTCACATCATATACACAAGTGTTAATTGTGGAGATTTGTATCTTTTGATTTTTTGTAATCGTGGTTTTTTAACGTCTTCTTCGAATGTTGAATCGCTAAGGTCGAGGAGTTCGGCGATGATTTTCGGTTTCAGGTCATAAATTTAATTTTCCCAATGATGATGTTGACGGATGTTTGTTGTGGCAAGCACATGCTAGCTCTGGTTCCTTGACGATAAACCGGTTTCAGACTATGTTTGACTTGCCGCCTTTGCCGATTATTATCAAACCATACTTGATTTTGCTCGATATAAGCATTTGGCTAAGGTAAGCAACTGTATTTACGTGAACAATTGTTTTTCATGTTAACAATATTGTTCATCTGTTTCTTTTCTTAACTTTAATTTTATAATTTAGGTAAATTAAAAATGTTTGTTACATTTTAAATATATTTTAAAAAGCTTTAAAAGGGAGAGTTATTTAAAAAAGTTTGCTGATAATAAAAAATTAAAATGGTCATCGGTTCTCTTGAAAAAAGAAAAAAAAAATTTAATATTTAATTAGTTTACAAAACATATGTTTCATGTGGAAAAAATTAAATAATACATTTCATATAAGTTGATAACTTGATTAGATATATAAATACGGAAAACAACGTAAAGCGGAGGCTAATTACTGTTACAACTTGATTTAATTTACTACATTTGCAATCGATAGTATTAAAGAAATGAAGAAACAATTTCTCATCTTCGCTTTGCCACTGATGGTAAGCTTAATCAGTGCAAAAAACGGGCTAAGTAGAAATTTAGATCTTCTAATAAGCCCAGTCGGCGAAAAATTACCAAACGTTCTATCTAAGGAAACAGAAGTTTTGTAGTTTTTGGAAACACTTACCGCCAAAATTGATATTTTGAAAAAAAGTGATCCGGAGAACATCGATAAGCAATCGTCTGAAATTGAAACACAACTTCAAGCGATTAGAGATGACGACAGAATGGTCAAAAATAGCAATGAAAAAACTCATGATGATGACAGGTTTAAAGTGATTGGAGACTTTTACCGCGAAAAACTTGCCATGATTACGGATCTAAACGATAATATTGACAATCTATTCCAAGTCCATGTCGCGAAAGAGCTGGCAACCGGTGATATTATGCGTTAAAAAGGCAATTTCAACATGCAATTGGTAACAACTGAGAAACTAGAGACTACGTATACTTGAAAATATATTAAATTTAAAATATCTTTGAAAACGCCAGACATATATATCAGAAAACTAGGCAAATAAGCTTACGCTGCACATATGGGTTGTGACAGGTATTGTTTCTAATACCAGAATTATCGACGTTTTGCATTTAACTATTTCCACCAAAATGAAGCAATTTGATTCATAATTTTGGAAAAACGCAACAGCCGTAAAAATCAAAGTAAAGAATAGTAATTTAGCACAAAAATTTCTTGATCTATCACAAAATGAGTATGATCTGCCCACATGAACGGCCAGGCTAGAAATCATCTCGAAAAAATCTCGAGCTTTTTTCTTATTTTCGCTCACAACTTTCTGTGTCGTGAAGATATTTCCGAAAAAGCTAGATATTACCCAGGTCTGCCAACATGTTCGGATTAGAGTGTAAAAAGTGATAGTAAGGAAAGTTGTTAAGTATACGGATAACAAGATTCGGCTATTTGAGCGTTAACTGTGTATATGTGTGTGTGAACCGATCGAGAGGATTTGTGGACAGACAGAGCATTGAGATGGTCCTAACAAATATCTGGGTTTTTCGGAAATACCTTCACTGGATCAAAAGCTCTAGGTGAAGAAAAGAAAATGTTACCAGTTTTTTTCGAGGTAATTTAAGCTTTTTTTATAGTCAGTGGATCACAGCACTCGTTTTCTACCTTAAGTATTTAGTCGGTTAAGCAATATTCATAGTAAATTTCAGCGTCCTGTCCTCACGTTTAAAATTTTGGCGAATTTCAAAAAAAAGAAGATCTTTTTTGGTATTGCCATCTCTAGAACTAGACCAAATAGAAAAAAATTAATTTCAAATATTTAAAGTTTCTCATATGAATAAAAATGATCAACAAAATTTTGGAATATAATAGTATATCTTATATCCAGTTTTTCAAGCTCATATGCTAGTGTTAACTTTTATTTTTAATTCTGAGGAGACGCATGTCTCCTCACTATTTTCAATAATAAATAAAAATATAGCAGATGTATTACATATAATAATTAGTTTGAATTGTAGGTTTTGTTTCATAAATTTTCATTTTATTAATTTTCAAAACCGAACCTACAAATTTCAAAGTCGATCATATGATCGAATAGAAATTGACCAAATTCTGTATCGACTGCATCGAACGCATCTATAGTTTGAAGTTTCTCTTCCAAATGTTCACTGGCTATAGCTTGTTCCACTTGATTTAACAAAGCACGCAATTTCACTTCATAGACCTTAGCGCCCAAAACTTGATTGTTTTGCAGTAAATGCGAAACATAATATTGAAAAAATTTCAAATGCGCGTTTAACACAGGAAGAGGTTGAGGTTCGCTATCAAGATATGTTGTTAAGTTTTGCGAATAATTATCAACAGTTTCCGTAAATGCATTAAATTTTTCTCCAAAATCATCTTTTTTGAGAGCAATTTCATATTCCGCTATTATTTGTGAGATCTCCATTGCCAAACCATCCTTTAGATAGGGCAAAATTTCTTTCATATACCAAATTTCAATGCAAATATCCTCATTAAGATATTGTTTATCCAACTCATTTTGTAAATAATCACTAACTGCTCCATTCAGGGTATGAGCATAATATTCCAGAAATTCCTGTTTCTGCTGATGATTATCGTTAGTTAAGGATTTTTCAAAACGTTGCCTTAGTTCGTTCAACTCATTAGCGTATTCAAAGTCCGCCTTCTTTATAATAATATGCAAACGTTTTATGTAATGATTCAAGCGACTGTTGATATGCTCTTCATCATCTTGAAGATGGCGTTTTATAGGGCTTGCGATAGATACCTGTTGTAAAATTGTTTTTATTAAGATATATCCTTTCAAAATTTCTACATTCACCACTTTAAGATTAATTAATATAATCTAGCCCATCTATTTGCAATATTCATAAATTTTGGAGATTTTGTAACGTTTGCTTTTCAGGTAATGTAATACCATCAAATGAACCGTTTACACGCATCCTCTGTTATAGCAACTCACACGACTGAGTAGACTCATTGTCTAAAATTTTGGTAAAAGCTAATTATTTAGCAATTTACGAATTTCAAAATATTTTTCCAAATAATTTGGGAGGTTTTGACAAAAATGCTGTCGACATAATACCCATACATACAACTTGAGGAAAAATTTAATGGGGGATTAATCGACACACTCTTCACTGATTTATCTTAGGTGGTGAATATCCAACATTCGTCGAAAGACGAAGGTAATTTTCTTAATTGATATTTTCATAATTACATTTTTCAAAACTATTTGTAAAAGGATTAATTGGAATAATGACTTTATTAACGACATTGTTAGCACTGAAGCGGTTGAAGTAATTTTTGATTATTTCTCAAGTCAACTTTCACTGTGTAATGGTTGATCAATTCAGGCTTTTATATGAATATACCGTTTTTAAAATACACTGAGAATACTCGATCAAAAATGCCGAAAAATTTATCCATCCTTTCAAATAGTTTTCAAGACTTAAATCTTTTTCAAGATGTTGCTGAAAGCTTGAGAGAGAGAGAAAGAGAGAGAGAGAGAGAGAGAGAGGGAGAGAGAGAGGAAATGGATTGATTTTCAAACTATTTTACCTTTTATATTAGTTTTTGCACAGTTTTTTTTGCTGTTTAAAACGATCGCTTAAGCATTTGAAAATAATATTTGAAAATTTTTTTATAAAGGTCGAATTCTTTATATTTCTTAAAAATTGCGATTTTCTTTACTACCATCAATTCTTACAATTTTAATCACGTTTTTCTCAAATCGTTCTTCTTCGAGCTCCCCGTACTATTAATATATGTCAATTCTCAATCGGTTATCTTCAAATTCCAATCAATTGTCTTGCTTATAATATTCTGAATTTACATCATTTGCGGTACAAGGGTGTATTAAATTTGGGCGGATATATGCAATACACAGACGCGCTTGCAATAAATCTATCTTTTATTGTACTGATCAGTTCAGAACCATCGATCTGAATCGATATAAGCTTGTCGCGATATAAGCCGCAATATTCATGATACATTGATAATATATGGTACAATAGCTAACGCCTTGTTTTAAAAAGTCGATTTGTGGATACCTGTAGGTTGGTGTAAGGAATTTAATACTAAGTCGTGTCCCACTATGGTGTTTTTACTTATATTTTTTTGATTGAGTTCAATCAATTTTATGGCCAATTTTTCATTATTTTTTTCGAAACAATCGATAGCATTTCGTTTCCTTTTAAAAATTCTGCGTTCTTCGCTAGTGCAAAATAATGCTTAAAAATTCTGAGTGTATGATTTTTGCAATGCAAAGCATAAGCAATGACTGTCACTCTGGGGCCAGACTTATGAGTCTTGTGAGTCTCTACTTCATGAAAGACCGATTTGCAGAAACACATCGCTCACCAGCTAGACGGTTTTCAAACATTGTAATGGAAAGCTGCCACCTATTCCCATGTATTTTTGTCAGTTTCATATTGAAATAATATTTGCATTTATAATATTTTATGCCCTGGGCTATTCGTCACATTTTGTTTTATTCCTAAATATTTCTTTCTATGTACCTTAATCGTCGTGTTAAATAATTCCTAGCAATAATACGAAATATACGTTGCTACAAGGCATGGCGTTGACACGCAATTGTTTGCTGTGATTTTACACAAGTCATTTCTAAAATACATTTAAACCAAAGCAAAGTTTATCTAAAACTTAAGTTTTTGTCATTGCTTTTTCATATTGCATGCAGTCGTAGAGTATGTAAAAGCTTCAACAAGTTTTTGTTTTTTGCTTTGATGAGCAAAAAAAACAGTTTAACTTGAAATAAACTATGATTAAAATATGAAGTAAAGGTTAAGATATTCGTTTGACATATTATTTTTGATTTCATTTAATAGAAATTAATTTGTGCTTAATCGTATTCAAGGTTTTTCTTTTGCAAAAAATCATTTAATTCTTGATTGTCGGTATATGTCACTTCATGTAAAACTTTTTGTTTGTCTTCCAATGATTTATCAGAGTTCAAAGCTTTCTCACATTTCGCCTTCAATTCTAAGATTTCTTTTTTAAATGGCACACTCTCATCCTTTAATACATTAGCGAAAAATTCTATAGTCTTCTGTAAACGCGTGTTTACATTTGGTAGAGAACTTTCTTTTAGAAATTTGTCGAAACTATCGCTAAAGTCTTTAGATAGATTAATGAATCTTTCCACTTTATCCTTTAAATCAGCAACTCGATGTATCTCCTCCAATATGCTTAGAGTTTTCTTAATGTCATCTTCGTAGGAATTATGCTCGGTAAGCAGAGAGTTATAGAAAGCCATAGCATTTTCAATGTCGCCATCTACTTGAGCCTCTTCCAATTTCTTCGAAATCCATTCATTAAACTCCTGATTAAAGTGAGTCGGCATGCTAGTAATAGCTTTTTCTTTCTCCTCAAAATCGTTAAGTTTTAAAGCATCTTCGGTCAATTGTATCAATTTCTTTAAGTCATCTTTGTGCTGATGCTCATTCAACGTGCTCAGGAATCTTTCATAAGCTTCCAATTGTCCACGAAGATTCACGTTCAAAGCCCCTATCAAATCTATAGCCTGCGAACCCTTTTTGCACAAAAATAGTTCTTTTAGTATTTTACTAAATTTTGCTTATATTGATCAAACTTACCTGCAATACAACTATAGCTATTAATATAAAATATAATTTATTCATTTTTAAAAGTAAACGATCTTCACACGCGTTAAACGTTAACTCTTTAATACATTTTCGGGTTTTTGCTTTTTATACTTAAAGCGGTTCATGGATTTGTTTCTTTTCTTTTTCCTATAACTTTTGTTCTCTTAATCAGTTAACAAGTTTGTGGTGAAAAACACTAATAAAAAAAGTTTTTGTTAATGTTTTATATTTGTAGTTTTCTGTGGTTTATTAATAATCATCACGAGAGATCTCGGAGAAATCTAAATAGAGATGCACAAATTTTTAAAGTAAATACGACTTTAACATACAAGTACGTGGTGGGAAAAACCTGAGATTCGCATAAGTAGTTACTACGCCTTTGTATGTGAAGAACTTATTCTAAGAATGACTTTAAATTTTTTACTACTTTTGATAAACTCTGTTTAATATTATTTAATATTTAAAAAATTTCAGCTTAATTTAATTTATACTAAAATGTTTGAGCTGCCTCGCCCCAACTAATAGATAATTAATTATGAGATTTAAAAAATTGTGTAAACCAGTTTAACATTATTTATCTTAATTATGGTCAAAACCAAAACATGTGGATAAATTAATTTTGTCATCTCGTTTGTAGCAACTGTAAATAAGCGGTAGAAACAATTTAGCCATATGCCCACTCATAATTTGAATAGAAATTTGTAGTGCGAAGCTGTGCACTGTGACAAAAAGTTAGCAGAAATTTTCAAAAGGGGCATATAACGCTGTAATCAATCATAAAGGTTTACCTGAAGTCCTCATTATTATCCATACTTACGTTTTAAAAGTAGTTCATGTAAGAACGTACTAATGGCTTTGTTGAACTTTTTAATGCCTCTAACGAAAAAGCTACTCCGGGCCGTTGCAGGTGGTTATTTGGTGACAACAGACCAACTTTTTGCCGGCAATTTTTGCTGAAGGGTCTCTAAATTCTACGATGGCATTTAATGTGCACACTTTCACAAATTTTTATATTTTTTTGTGAAAACTAGAGAAACCAGACAAGAGCGACCTTTAAATGCCCAACACCGATTGGCCTAACATAAATCTTCACTTACTTTTGCAATGAAATACCGTTAAAACAAACTTTGTTGCCACAAAAGAAGCCCCTTTTTAAAAACCCCTTTATGTGAAGAAATGCAAAAAATGCATGCACATGATCGAAATTCCGTACAATTAATTTCCATGCCAAATTGCAATTATGGACAAAAATTCATCATAGAATATTAAAAACGTTGCATTTTTTCCCTATACAGATTAAGTTTTTCTAAAAACAGTTATGTGGGACCTGGGTCGAAAACTTAGTCCCACGGAAAGTTTGAAAAACAAAAGTGTGACCTTTCTATTAAAATAGTTCGTTATTTGCAGCAGATAATTTGACATTGATCCGAAATTTGGCCAGAGCATATATTAGACTTTCCAAAATTATCTACTCTATAAATGTTCTAACATATGGATGGCTATGAAGAAATTGATAAAGTGCCGAAGATTCTACCTATAACAAGTAAAACGTTTTTACTAGTTGTCGATTAACTTATCATATGTATTTTCTTGTAAACTTGTATGCACTTGTTGTTAATGAATAACAATGTTGATACAAAAAAAGTCAAATATAATGAAATAGATCTGCATAATAACAAATTATATAAAAATCAATAATTTTCCCACTTACCTATTAATGCATTTTCTTTGCTGAAACTTTACACCATCACCACAACTGCGTGAACAAACACTCCATTTACTCCAGTTACTCCAACGCGGATAAAAATGAATCTTTTGTTTCGATTTTTTGCCACTTGAAAAAGGGCTGACAGTTGCAATATTAATCGAAGCAGTTGTATTCAAAATATCGTATGTATTTCTATCGTTCGCATTTAGTACTGTTTTGTTTAAGCTTGATTTTTTAGTTATGTTTAACTCAGTCATTGGCAATATGGTAGTTGTATCGAAAGTATTAACTTTGTTTGTAGTGCTTATAATAGCAACAGATACGGCTCGTGTATCTGGCTCTTCCAAAGGATATACATCGTTAATACTAGGCTTAATTTGTACTACAATAGGAATATTTTTAATGATATTATTATTTTTATTACTATCAAAACGCCAAAGGTTTGCCAACTCAATGGGTTGTTTCAAATCAATATTATGAAATACGTTAATGCGCGATTGGTTTCGTTTTTTAAGCCATTCTTTATGTTTCTGAATAAGAATAGAAAAATGAAATTTTTTAATAAAACAATCAACAGAAAACAAGCGAAAGGTTAAGCATATATATTAATAATTTTAAAGATTATACATTTTAAGTAATACGCTAAGAAAAATGATCGGGATTTCAGAAAGAAACACCTAGCTAATATTAAAGTTCGCGAGATCTATAAATAAAATAACAAGAAGCAAGTTAAAACGTCCGTTATAATCTGGTATGGCCGATCATTAAATTCCCCGCACTGCTTTAACTGCCATGACCCAAAGTTACTAACTTACTAAACTGCTAAAAAATTAAACATTATAATCGGCAAATCCGAGCGTCAGATACCCTACACTACTTCTCCTATTAAAAATCTTTAATTTAGTCATAAAGTAGCGAAATGTATACCCGTCTACCGTGTAAATATTTGATTTTGATGACAATTCTTTTAAGAGAAAAGAACCGAAAGATACACCTATGCGATGCAAACTTAGTTCAATCTCGTATGTCACATCACTGTTTTTGACCGATTTTTATCATGAAACGCTTAAAATAAGAAGGATTTTAACGTTTACTTAGGACATGTATCACAATGTAGTGCTACCCGATCCAATGATGGAAAATGTCCGCCATTTCTCAGGACGAGAGCCATTGAAAATGCCAAAAATTCTTTACATTTTTTACATAATTTCCAATAGGGAATAGTTTACGTATGAACGTTATATTAAAAAATTTCACATTTTTCGTATAAGCCCGAAGTCGATTTTTATATATAAAAACTTTTCTGCTTATAAAAGTACCAGATGTTAAATAGACCTGTTTGCCTAATACATACTGATCTCTGCAATAAGGGAAGCTTAGCTTTGGATTGCTTTCGCTCAAACGAAAGTCAGAACTTATCGGTGCTCAATCCTTTGAAGTTAAGTAAAACCGAGGTATGTTTACCTGCAAGGAGAAAATAAAGTAACTTTACAATACCACCTTTCGTCCGAAGATATGCGTCACTTTTCGTAAAATGTACGATTAATCATAGCTCTATATTTCTAACAATTCTAAGCAATTACTCAAAGGGCGAAGCGGCTGCAATTTTATCTCCTACCGTCAACAAATTTTAGCAACAATGGTTGATATGTGCGCGTCAGATGCGTTCGGGAAAAAGGCGTAATTATAATTCGCTTTTATGAAAAATTGGAAATCAAAATTTAAACTATACTCTCGGACAAAGTCTATATACAAATACTGATTATTAATAAAATAATTTCTCCTTAGGTGCTTTGCACGTATTTTGATCAGTTTTTCACTTGACAAAGGCATTTATAGGGAAAAAGTGGTACAATATATATTTATCACAACCTTCCATAACCTTCTATAATTTTTTCCCATCTGTCTGACAACGTGGCAATACCGTGTCGAAAGAACGATATTCGTTTGCAACATTGCAATCATCGACCCCGTTTTCGCACTTCTTCCGCATTTCGAAACCACGTGCCACCCAAATCATCGATTTTAATCAGAAATCGGTATGCCTGGTGAGTATGGTGGGTGCAGTAGAATTTCCCATTCGAGGTGTAACAATGCGTTCTTGACAACACTTGCACCTTGTTGCCGGAATGCGCTAATAGTTTCATTCAGTTTTAGGAGCTCGTAATATACTACACCTTGCCGATCCTATCATACAGCAAAACTTTACAGTCATGAACATTCCCCTTCGGTGTCGAGGCCGATGGCTCTTCTCAACTAACCCATGACTTTTTGCGCTTGGGATTCTCGCAGCAGATTCACTTTTCATCCCCAATTACAACACGCCACGGTGAATTCTTCTTTTCTTGCCTGGCAAGCAAGGAATGCTAAGGAATGGGCAAAGCCGAAGCGATGATGCTTTCAGCCAAAAACTGGATGAATTTGGTTCTCAACCATTACTAGCTGAATTTCTGAACCATAAATATATCACTAATATGAAAATTAACCTTATCATTCAAGTTAATCTATTTGTTCAATAAATCATCATCAATTTTTTATTCCATATTCCCATTACCGAAATTTAATCGCGTTAAAGTCAATAATCCTGAACTCATCATTGTTACGCTGTCTTTCTTTCGCTGGTAACACTTTATCACACAAACAGCGCAAAATTCAAAACTCAATTAAATGTGTAAAATATAATTACAACACAACGATATTTTGTTCCGTCTAGCAAATCTTCTGTATCTATTTTCAATTATGTTCTATATATTCTTCCAAATAAAATTCAACACAACGCTCGCTTAAAAATTGTGACTGAGAACCTATTTAAATTTAAATTTTGTGAGTTGCTACATTTTTCAGCTCACGGTTGGGCATTCGCCTATTCCCGGGTCTATTACCTCACGGGACTGGGCTCAGCTATTTCTCTTGATGCTTGCTTTTAATATGAATCAAAGACCTGCATTTGTTGGTATTGCAGGAACCCGCGTGTCAAAGTCGCTGTAGAGAACGGCACAGCTTTCTGTGCCTTTTACAGTTAATTTAAAATCTTTATAGCAGTTTTTGGCACTACTCCCTTACAAGACATCACGATTGTAATTATAGTAACTATCTCTTTATTGTAAATACTTGTCATCTCTTGTGCCAGCTCCGTATATTTAGCCTTCTTATTGGAGTATGCTGTTTGTATATTTTGTTCGATCGGAATTAACATTATTAATAATTTAGCGAAAGATTGAACTCTAAAGCGTCTAAAGCTGTCAACGTTATTGAAAACACTTAAGCGATTGGGCTATGAGCTATGACCACTGAATTGTTACTCACGACTCTTTGCCTACTGGGCCACTCAGGCGGTTAGTTTAAAGTTAAGAAATCACTAAAATGTGTTTTTCTAAATGGGATTTGAATACTTTTTTTATCTCACCAGTAAATTACCTTTTGCCACTTGCATATATATGGCCTTGATTATATGTGATTTCTTTCTAACGGCGCTTAAGTCTTTTATTAAAATTTACAACTTTGCCCTTTTTTCGCTGTACTTCACATCATTAAACTATTTCGGCAATGATCCATAAAATTTACGTCTACTATTAAGTTCATACATCTACAAGCGCACACCTTAAAAAAAATTCGATGAAAACTACTAAAGTTGATTGCTTTTGAATTTAATAATCAAATAGAGAACAAATATCGGACCGGTTTTTTTATGCAAAAGCACAAAAGAAAAATCTCTCAAATCATCTAACGAAATCATCTAGTGAAAATTGTTAATTACGTTACTTAAAAAATAATACGAATTCCATCTTTAATATCCAAAAATTATTCCAAAGAGACATCATGTTTAACAGCAACTTATTTCATATTCAAGTTCAAAAGAGATATTACGAATATAAATCAACCAAATCTTTTCCATGACTTACATTTATTCTCTCCGCGGTGGATTTATCAGCGTAAGGAGCACTACTAAGCATTATTATGATGGTCAATAAACTGTGGAAAGAAAACGTTAAAAAAAAGTTAGTGTTTTTCCAATTTGTTCATTAAATAAAAGTAAATATCTACATTCTTCCTTCTTTCAAACGTTACACTTGGTCGAATTTTAAATATTCTCCGAAACCTAACAAATGCAAATCGTGGAAAACTTGCAAATCGTGGAAAACTTTTTCTTAATTGTGGACGTGACGGTTAACCGACTATCACTATTTGTACATTAAATTGTTAAATTGATCTCGTAAGTACAAGTCAAAGTTTAGAGTGTAAGTTGTTGATATATTTAAGAAATTTTTGGAGAATTTTTTACCTATAGATTTAAAGAATGCATTCAGGCGTAGATTTGCGCAATTTAATTCGTGGAGCAGTTTTATGTGAATTTAAATAGATACTGTGCGGGAAAATTTGCAAACAATTGGCTCGGCTGTATAAACTGGAGAATTTACCACAATTAGAGTTAGTTATTTAATGACAGTAATTTAGCAAAATAAGGACTTAATTTCTCCATTTTATCGTCCGTTAATAGACCTAGAAGTATGTAATGCGTCTATGTATTAACAGACTAAGGGTAAATAACTCGTTGGCAGCTCAATTAGCACTTGATTTTTTTTTTAAATTATCAAATTTGAAAAGAGAAATTCATTCAAATATTGGACTTGGCATAGCTTACGCGTATTTAAAATTAAACAAATAGTCCTGGAATCATCATTGGACAAACATCCCTTGCATCTTAATCTTTCTGCTAAAAATCATTTTATTGAGAAGGGCTAACAGTAGTACGGGGTAGGACTATGTTACGTATTTGAATTCATATTACGCTAAAATGTTCATCATTATATCGAAATATAATCCGCATTGTAAAATACTAGCAATTGCTTCCTGTTTACGGCAACATTATGGGATTTACCGCTTTGAACGCGGTTGTCTGCTGAAGATTTTTAGTTTCTATAGTAACCGGAACTAATTCATTTACGTCGTGCGCAAAGCTTTTTAAGCAATGTGATCGAAAATTGCCAAGTCTTGATTTGCCTATGTGTGCTCATCGCAATCTTCTAAAGATAATGGACAGAAATCGTTTGAGAATCGTGTGCAGTTCGCAGCAAATTTGCTAACTCGACGGTCAAGAGAGCAACAATATTTCACCAGTCGTATGCTGGTCAAGGTGGGACAAATCGCTATTTTACGTCCCTTGTAATGGTCTTTCGGCCTCTTATTTTCTGAAATTTTCGAGAATTTTTTTTTTCATATTTTTAATTGTGAGGCATACTCAAGTATAGGTCTAACCAAGCACATGTAAAGCCTTTTCGCAATGTAAGGATCATCAAGCTCTTTGGACCACCTCTTTATAAAATGAATGACTTTCTTCTTGAGAAAGAAAGCTTCTACATTTATTTAAATTTAGTTTCAGAAGATTCAAAGAGCACCATGCAACCAAATTATTCAAATCACTTTGAAGATGATGTGATTGCGATTCTATGGAAAAGGAAGAAAACAGTTCTACATCATCAGCATACATTAAGATCTCGCTGAATTTAATCAAGGAGGGCAAATCATTGATGTATAAATTAAATAAAATGGGTCGTAAGTGGCTACCTTGAGGTACGCCAGACGTCACGGGGAATTCATCCGAGGTAATGAGCTTAAACAAAACCCTGAATGATCTACCATGCAGATAAGAGCTTAACCATTCCACTAAGAAGAAAGATAAGCAAGAGGCTTGGAGTTTAAAGATAAGTAGTCTATGGTTAACCAAATCAAACGCTTTGCTAAGGTCAGTGATATAAGTACACATGAGGGAATTCCATCAGTTCCAGGCGAACAATTATATTTTAGAGAACTCAATCCTTCGAAAACGTCATTTTCAAATATAACTAAGTTAGGAATTGAAATCAAACTAGAAATCGGATGTGGATAGTTTTCCGACAAATCAAAAGTGGCAGTTGAAAAGTTGTGTCGAGGACTCAGAGCCATTAAAAGATACATGCGAGGGATTTATGGAGATTTTTCTTTTGGAATTAACGAACTTAAAAAAGTATTTAGGATTAGCAAACAAGAAGGATTTAACGAACTGAAGGTATCTGCAATAGTATTGACGGTTGAGGGAATTAAATTTATGCCTTGCCACTGAGTAAGCGAAATAGTCGAAAGAAGAACCACTTTTCGAAAATTTTTTGAAAAGCTTGTTTTTCCTATTCTTGTAATATTTAATTGTTTTATTAAACCACGGGGGACGCTTGCTTCGAGGACGGGACTGCTTGATCGAAACGGATGCAGAAATAGCTTGGTGTAATATATTGTAAAACGACGACAGTAAGCTATCAATACTTCCTAATGAGAAATCAAGCACAATATGAGGAGGATGTGATTTTAGCATGGAAACATTGATTTTATGGAAATCATAAAATTTATATGAAAACTTTGAATTTGGAACGTTATAGAAGTTCAACGTACCAACATTCTTGTAATGAAAGGCAATACCCAATGCTGGATGATATGGATCCTCAGGTAAACTAAACGGAAGACAACGATTAACGCAAATCTCAGGAAAATTGGCAAAGCAAAGATCAAGCAATCTACCACGTAATTAGGGGTACCATTGTATTGAACTAAACTATGATCAAATAATTCATTAGAGAACACAACGACTCTACCAGATGTTGAGGTAGGAATCAAACAGCCAGAACTATCACTGTAACACCAAGTGACTTAAGGCAAATTGAAATCACCCAACGCAATGACTAAATCGGTAGGTCTAGATTGCTTGGCCACTTAACAAATGAGGGCGGCCTGTTTCTTATATACAGAGATATCCAAATTTGGGGGAATATAGGAGCAGGTCACATATAAGTGTTTATTTCATTCGAATGGCGATAAATTCAACGTCGGGAGTAGTTGGAAATTCAAATGAATAGGATCGGACTGCCAAAGATTTCGATCGTCCCTGAAAACTTGAAACGGATTATGGAAAAGTTCCAACGAAAGAAGATCCGGCTTTAACCAAGTTTCACTGAAGACCAAACAGGAAAACTCCGTGCTCACTGAATTTAGGAAGGTAGAACGAATTTTTGAATTTAGGCCCCTAACATATTGATAAATGAGAGATAATGATCTTGAAGAAATTTTTAATTTTTTGAAGAGGAAAGGGCTACTACACTAGTATTACGAGGGATGAATTCCTTAATTAAGGATCCAACCGGCCACAGTGGTTTATTTAAAATGAAATCCATATTTTCAGTCGGAACTAGAATTTTAAAAGATTAGATAGCTCTAGATTGAGAAGGAGCCAATTTGAATATACGAACGCGCTTTAAATTGACAGAAGGGGGTTTCGCTGCCAGATAACTTTTTATGTTATCAACAGATGTATCTGGTGCCAGTCTTCACACAAATATTGCCTTTCCGGGAGGAATTGCCTTCAATTAAACGTCATCTGTACTAGGAGCAGAAGTGTTCAGGGATGGGAAGTTATGAGTTGGGGAAAATACAGAAGGGGTACCACACTTGCGCGAGCAGCTTGTGCGACGTGCCCAGTTTGGCGACCGGCGTTCACACTCGAACAGCCAGGAGGAGAGGATGATTTACTATTATTATTATTAGTTTTAGGCGATGACGCCTGAAAAGATTGAGTGACATCAATGGGAGGAGATACCCTTGCCACTTCAGCATAGCTCAAGCCAGAAGGACTTCCCGGTTTTTTTGTAACTTTTATGTTACCGACCGACTCAGCTGTAGCAGAAACGCTAACATTCTTTGTAGACTTTAGGGAATCGCTAACTTGCACCGACGAAAAAGAATAAGGAGAACTCAGAGGTGTGTTGAAACGCTACACTACGAGTTCGAACTTTGTTAGCTGGAGAGAAAGACGACAGCGCAATATAACGACACTCGTCAAACCTAGTCTTGATTATTTCAAATTTCTCCCACAAGGAGCCGAGATTTTTGCTCAAATATGAGAAACAATTTCTTGTCTCCGTGAAGAGTTTGTAGAAACCAATGTCCCGCTTTCTGCAGTCAGGACAAGACCACCGTAAACCTTTAGAAGAGTCAAGGACTGCATCAACAGCACGGCCGACAATACCAGCACACTTTGCATGTCCAAAACGATTACACAGCCAACAAGAAATGAATCGTTCAGATTCAGGGCCTGTTTTTGCACGACATGGTGTAAATAAGCAATCCATGTCCATTGAAAAGAACAAAAGTAGCTTATGAAGGAAAATAAGAAAAAGTAAAACTGAAAAATTCCACGGCACAAATTTTCAGCAAATTGAAGCAAATGTCTCACTTCCCTGCCTACTGTAAATATAGAGCGAAAGCTAAAGAATCTGTAAACAAAGATTAACAGGCAAAAAGTGAGACTTTTACTAAGAGCTCAATTGTTGATTACAGTAAACCAAAATGATTTCTTCACATAAATGGTTAATAAATTCATATGCGTTAAATTCATACTTTATTCTTTTAGAGAATTTTTAAAATTAAACACAAATAAAGCAAAAAAGCTAAGAAATACACTAAAAAAATTGAAATATTTCTTGCACAGAATAAAAAGGCGACTACAACACGCATGCAGAGTTGCCAAACTAATCGCAAATTGACGCTTATGCAAATAGAATTGTTTTGAACGAGCGCATCTTTTAATCTGCGCACTTCGCAGACGCACATGGTTGAATGCTGAAATTTCGCACGTTGAAATATGAAAAATAGAAGTGGAGCAAATGGTGTGTTTACCCTTATGAAAAGATTTTAGCTTTTTCAGCTTTTACTTTTATCTACTTTATACTTATTTGTAGCGGAACTATGACTATTGTATAGTCCGAGTTATAATATAACTAGAGTTTTTCCGCCGTCTCAATTTTTGAGGTTTTACGAATATCAAGCAGGCGAAAGTTAATTAGAAAAATTTTAACGAGCGCCTACGTGTCTAATCTTCTAACCAATCTTCAGAGCTTACAATATGAACGAAGTATAATTATAATTAATTCCTAGTTCTTACCGAAAAATTTTTCGAAAAATACTAATACTCGTTTGACCTAATACATTAACTTGTTCGTTGGCTATTGATATTTTCAACTTGTCGTTTAAAAATGACAATATTGCTCATAATTACGCCTGAAATTGTTTAATTAATATGTTGTCTTTTTCCTGTACAAACTTTCATGGTGTTTTTGCGGTAATGAAAAAAAAAATTGCAAAACACAAACTTGATATCCGAAATTTTAGTATGTCAATCATTTAATAGACTGTTCCGATGACATTTTATTTAATATTTTGAAAAGTGCACTAAATAATCTTTGCATATCATCTTGAGACAAGACACGCAATCTTATTAGGTAGAAAAATGCAGCTGAGCTGGGAACAACTAATAGCTTGCAGTGGTTAGTAATATTTTTATAGTTTTTATTTTTCTTTTTATTGATTTATTTGCTTGTGATGGGCCTTACCTAAAATCATGCATGATACATGAATGGTTTATTCTATAACTAAATGCCAATTTTAAAATAACTTTCATAAATATAATAAAATCGAAATCAATATTGAGAACGAATTATAACCCAAATACAACTCAGTATCTCAATTTAGGAAAAAAAAAAAAAGAAGCAAATAAGTTATATTTCCTTTAAGTAACATTGTTCACATATCCATCTTGCTATTACACATTTTATGCGTGTCAGCTCAACTAGGTGTTTGCGAAAGGTAAGCATGTTAGTCAGCTGATCTTAACAATTGTTATAACTTTTAAATGGCCTCATCCCCTTCTAACAACTTCGACCGTGATACGAGGCTTTTGATCAACGAGACTATTCATCCGTGTCCTGACGTCCGTATTGTTAGAATTCTCATTGTTACATAAAGTGCGAAACGTAACTGAAACTTTGCATATACGTCTTAGTTGTTTTGAATCCCAAGATTGACTATTCATTTGCAGTTTGGAGGAAATAATTTCGGAACAAAAGTAAAGAAGTTCCAGAACGAAAAAAATTGGCAGCAGCATTTTTTTTGATTTTATTCCCTCAATAGAAAAGAATACTATTGTGCGAGAGATTATGGACAAAGTAAAATTGTTATTGGTTCAAAAATTTTAATATCTGCATATAACTGCATAGCAATGCACGGACAATTTTTTCTCTAAGCGCGGTAAACAATGTAACCCCACCAACTTTCATTCTTTTAGTTGAAATATGTAATAAGAGAAGTAGATACGGGATTTTCGATAACTTCGTTTAGACACTATTCCTTAAAAAAAAACTTCTTTCTTTTTTAGTTAAATACTTGCTGGGCAATTTTTAAAATTCAAAATTTTGCAAAAATACCATTCGTAATTTTTAAGAATTTACAAACATTTTCAAAATAGTTTCTCTTTTAATATTTAAATAAATGCTCCTCAATGGTATTATTTTATTCCCGTCCGTCCAAAAAAATCGTCAAAAATAACTTTTTTCAAGCTGTTACAATGGTTTCCCCCCTTGACGACTAGGCTAACAATGTTATCAGTTAAAATATTAATATGTATAACATATCTGTCGATGAAGGTATTTTTAAATAATTCCAAGTACTCCTTGCAAGATTTAAGATCAAATTTTTAAAAGACGATTATCAATAAATTATCATATCGCCTTATTTACAATTAAAATTTATGACAATTCTTATTAAAAGTTTTATCATCTGCATAGAAATTTCTTTCACAGTGTGGCAGTATTTTTTTTTTATAGCTTACACTACTTGTGGTACACGATATATTAAGATAGTGCGAACGTATGTAATACGAAGAAGAAAAATTTGATTCAGATTAGGCAATTTTTTGAACCTGCTCTCATAAAACCGATGCTTTAAAAACTGAATCCTTATATAGTAAAAAGCTAACATTTTTAATATTTAATAGTGAAAGTTATATAACGGTGGAATTCCTTCAATATATAGGCATTATTTTGTATATATATCGGATTATGTCGAGTCGGCCTTGCCCGACTATATGTTTCTACTTGTTTTTAAATTAAACTAGACCGAGTTAAGATAAAGCACTTGCACATGGGAGAAAAATGCTTTACATTCCGTCTTAAACTACCTTTTATGAAATATGGGTTAGTCTGTGCCAATGAAGGAGTTCTTAAGTGGAACTTGAAAGGTCTCCAGTAAATATTACTTCGGATATGAATTATTGACTCGGACATTTCAAATTTGGACACGTATGGAATAGAGAGAGGAAATAAGCGAACGTGAAAGCAGTAACTTGCATTCCCAAGATCTGTAAAGTCATTTATATTAAAGGTTTATTTATAATTAATTTATATTTTATTTATCTTAAAGATACGAGTTGATGCTTTTAAGTAACTTACCTTAAAATCTTTCTCCCAGCATCCAGTGTTAATATTCTTAATAAACGCATGCTGCTTTTATTAAATTCGTAATAAAATTTTAAAGTGGAATGTATTCATTAACTCTGTACTAAACTAGAAGAAAATCTGTCAAAATAAAAATAAAATAAATGAAAATCATAAAAAAACGTATAATTTTAAAAAAATATATGAAAAGATTTAACGAAAGAAAGTATAAAAATATTTAAAAAAAACTCCTTTCTCTATCTTCCGTTAGAGAAAATATAAAAATAGAAATTAAAATTGTTAAGTAGGGCGGACGTGAGCAATTCCCAAATGAGTTCTTGGAAGATTATAATAAATATTTGTGAAAAATATTGTGATTGACAGAAAAGTCTTAACCAAATTTAAATCTTTTTTGTTTCTTAGCATTTATGTTTACGTTGTCGCACGGTAGTCTCTATCGGTTAACCGCACATATAAATGCGACGTTTCAGATTGCAATCTCAAATATATTTCATAATTTGCATCGTCACCGACAGGCAGGCATACGTAGATATACTGAAAACGGCTTGTTAGTTGCGCAAAGATATTGGTGAATATATCTAGTACTTTCTCCTGAACATTACAGAATAGTAATATGTGACAATTTCCAATTCTCCGTCTTTAGCATATAATTGATTCACAAAACTATCGTGCTTCTCTCCCTATTTCTGATTTACTTATATAAAAAACATGGAAGAATTGAAGTATGTTTTCACATAAAGTGGTTCATTGAATTTTCTAAAATGAATGCTTGTGTGTTTCAATATCAAATCCTAGCTAAAAAAACAAAAAAAAAAAAAAACACGACTCTTCACAATTCGAATAACTTCAAGTTTTATCTTGAAACGGCTTGAACTGAAGTTCATTAACATTTTCTAATTAAAAAATAAAAAATTTAGCACTAAGTACATTTAAAGCCAAATTGAAGCCTTACCCTAACATAGTTTTAACGAAATCAAAAACAGAGCGAAAAAAATCACATATTTCGAAGAAAAAAACTGCAAACTCTAGCTAAACTGTGCTAATATTCTCTGCCAACGCCACTAATTTCTAATATATAATATCAAACGTTACGCACGATTAAACTTTAGTTTGAAAAAATGAGAAGATTATATACAAAAACAAACACAAAAAAAATTCGAAAACCAAAAATGATAGCAGCACACGCACGCATACTCTATATAGTATCGCGTAACTTACGTAAGTCTCATGCAACTGTATATTAACATAGATTAATAATATAGAGGAAGAGAAAAAACAGAAAAAAAAAGAGATTCCAACAATTTCCTACTTTTGGCGATAAGATTTATTAGAATACGACAACTGCAAAAACAGTGTGTATAGAATATACAATAACTGAAAAGAAGCAGATTTTTTTGTTTTCAAATTATAAAAGCATTTTTATTGTCATTTAACATAAAATTTTAAAACAAATTCCAAAACTTCCAATCGAAAGATATTAAAAAACAAAGAAAATGTTTAAACGTTTGAATTTAAATAATTTGCAAGTTATTGTCGCCACAACTCGTCGCAACAGTAATGATAAAAACCTGGGCGAAGAAAAGTTTCGAATTGAGACGGATACCATGGGTGAAGTAAAGGTGGCTTGTAATAAATATTATGGCGCGCAAACTGTGCGCTCAAAAAAGAATTTTCCTATAGGTGGTAAAACTGAACGCATGCCGAAGCCGATTGTAATAGCGATGGGTATTCTGAAGAAGGCCGCTGCGGAGGTGAACAAAGAATTTGGCTTAGAGGCTAAGATAAGCGACGCTATATCAAAGGCAGCCGATGAGGTGATATCAGGTGAATTATACGATAAGGGTCATTTTCCTTTGGTAATATGGCAGACGGGTTCAGGCACGCAGACCAATATGAATTGCAATGAAGTTATTAGCAATCGCGCTATAGAAATAATGGGCGGCGAAATGGGCTCTAAGAACCCAGTACATCCTAATGATCATGTTAATAAAGGACAAAGCTCAAATGATACCTTTCCAACGGCTGTACATATAAGTGTCGGTATGGAATTAAACAAAAACCTAATACCGTCTCTTACCGAACTTGCGAAAGATCTTGAAGACAAAGAGAAGGAGTTTGCTGATATTATAAAAATTGAAGCACTCATTTAATGGATGCCGTGCCGTTAACTATGGGCCAACAATTTAGTGGTTATAGACAGCAATTATGCAACGGTTTGGCTCGAATTAATGCTTGCTTGCCGCATGTTTATGAGTTAGCTCTAGGCGGGACTGCTGTAGGAACTGGTTTAAATACTCGAAAGGGTTTTGCCGAGAAAGCTGCAGCTCGTATAAGTGAACTTACCTCTTTACCATTTAAAACAGCTCCTAATTTCTTTGAAGCTCTTGCCGCTCGTGACGCCATGGTCGAAGTTCATGGTGTTCTTAATACTATAGCTGTTAGCCTTATGAAAATCGCTAATGACATTCGCTTTTTGGGTTCGGGTCCTCGCTGCGGCTTAGGTGAGCTAATGCTACCTGAAAATGAGCCTGGCAGTTCTATTATGCCGGGCAAAGTTAATCCCACTCAATGTGAATCTTTAACCATGATTTGCGCACAAGTTATGGGCAATCATGTAGCTGTTACCGTAGGTGGTTCAAATGGACATTTCGAATTGAACGTTTTTAAGCCAGTTATTGTGTCGAATGTTTTGCGTTCTATACGTTTACTCTCTGATGGATGTCGTGCCTTCAACAAGAACTGCTTGAAAGGCATTAAAGCTAATAAAGAAAGAATTGAAAAACTAATGAAAGACTCCTTAATGCTTGTCACAGCCCTGAATCCTCACAT